GACAGAACAATTCTTACACAGCTAGAACAAAAGAAGACCATAGGCACACTATCAGAGAAACCTACAAAGACTGCTGACAGTTTATTTCAGATTAAAGGAAATCAATCATATAATGTAAAAGTTAAGTCAGATAAAGATTATTGTAATATCATCAGTGCCTGCTGTATGGAAGATGGTACAATAATTCTAGCTGATTACAGCAACAACAAGCTTAAACGTTTACACAGTTACAATTATACTGTCACAGACTACTGTGACCTACCTGAATGGCCATGGCAAGTGTGTATGATCAATAACACACAAGTAGCAGTAACTATTCCATCAAACGAGGAAGTTCATTTCATTTCTCTAGAAAGAAAAATGAAAACAACAAACAAGATTAACACTGATTTTGAATGTTATGGCCTTGCATACTCAAACAATAATTTTTATATCTCAGATAAATTCACATCAGTATTTATGTTTACATTGTCAGGTAGGAAACTTAATCAGTTCAGTAAGAATCAATCAGGACATAAATTGTTCTCTACCATAAGCAGTTTAGCTGTCAGTAAGGATGCTACAAGGATTTATGTTGCTGACTGGTATAATGGACTGATAGTACTGGACAATAATGGTCAGGTTATTACATCATTCAATGATGAAAAACAATTAAAGGGGGCTGAATGTTGTTATCTCACTGAAGCAGGTAGTGTGCTGGTATCTGGAGAATACTCCTATAATGTTTTACAGTTTACGTGTGATGGTGAGCTGATAGGAGAAGTTATAAAAGCTGATAGTGGAAAAAAGAAGATTAGATCAGTCTGTTGTAATCAACAAATGACTAAGATGTGTATAAGTAGATGTCCAGATGGCAACATTGAAGTGTATGACATCTAATCAGTAAAACAAATGATTCACAAAAGAAAAATAAACATGTTTTTAAATATATGCATTTCTCTCAAAATGTATGCAAAGAGTATAATATGTTTTATTTAGTATGCAAAGAGTATAACATGTTTTATTTATTATAGGTGATAATTTGTTTTGGAATTTCCATTTTTGAATGCATCTGGTTTAATTGTCATTTGTTATATTACAAGTAAAACTACTAAATTGTTTAAACAATATGAAAAAAATCATGTATTGGGAGTATTTGGCGAGCATAGTGTTGTTTGGTTTAATGAGTTCTATAAATTTAGAAATAAACACAAAATGATAAATATTTATTTATTACATGACATAAATAAAAATGGTATATAGTAAAATAAGTCATTCTTTTCATTGATGCACATATACATATAGTGAAATGCTAATATTTAGCCTATTTTGATGTTTGAATAACACAAAATTTGAGCAGCGCAACGACAAAACCAACATAATGGGTTTGCGACCAGCATGGATCCACACCAGCCTGCGCATCCGCGATCAGGATCCATGCTGTTCGCTATCAGTTTCTCTACTTGTTATAGGGTTTGTAAGCGAACAGCATGGATCCTAATAAGACTGCATGGATGCGCAGGCTGGTCTGGATCCATGCTGGTCGCAAACTAATTCTGTTGGTTTTCTCGTGATGCGGCTCAACTGATATCATGTTACATTGTGGTTACACTTATAGTGTAATATTCATTTTCATTTAATGGCTGTTTTTCTCTTCTTTGCATTAATGAAATAAAATTCTATACTTAAATCCTCTTGAGTCATTACCTCATAAAGTCTACAAAAGACCAAATATCTAAGATAATAGTGAATAAATGATGGCTTTAAAGCAGTACGCTCCAGAAGATAACAGCAAAAAAGGGTCCAGAGGGCCCTGGATCGCTCATCTGAGAAATAGGATGAAAGGTAAAACTGGAGCCCCGTTTCACCCCAGAAGCACAACTTGAAAACATGGGACAGTTTAATTTGAACAATAATTTGTACTGTCACCAAGGAAATTTTTGTGTTAATTTATTTCAAAAATGAACCAGTGGTTTAGATGTTGTTGCTTTTTAATTCAGCTGTGGCTGCCATTTTATTAAACTGTTCAGCCTGTCACTAAGTGAGAGGTGAGCTAATAAAAAGATGACAGAAAAAGAGAGGGAAAACAAACATTGACCTGACTGGGGATTGAACTGTCAACTTCAGTTCCCTTGGGCTGGGTTAATTATCCCCCGCCGATGGAATCAGTAGGAGGGTTATAGTTTTGGCGTTGTCCGTCCTTCCTTCCGTCCGTCCGTCCATCGGTCCGAATTTTGTTCCAGACTAGTTCTCTGCAACTCCTGGCTGGAATTCAACGAAACTTTATGGGAATCATCAATATCAAGAAGAGATGCGCATATCGTTGGCTTAATCGGGTCAGACCATTTAACTCAGAGTTATGGCCCTTGATTAGTTATGCACTATGCATAATAATAGAGTAAAAATCATTTCCGCGCTACTTCTCTGCAACTACATACTGGCTGGAATTCAACGAAACTTTATAGAAATCTTCAATACCAAGAGGAGATGCGCATATCGTTGCCCTGTTGTACTCAGAGTTATGGCCCTTGATTAGTTATGCAGAAAAATATTTGTTTCCTCGCTACTTGTCTGCAATTACTGGCTGGAATTTAATGAAGCTTTATTGGAACCTTCAATACCAAGAGGAGATGCGCATATTGTTGCCTTGTTTGGGTCAGATATTTTAACTGAGAGTTATAGCCCTTGATAACTTATGCAGTATACAACCAGAGCAATAATCGTTTCCGTATAGTGATTCTGGATTGTAAGAAGAAGATTTTTAAAGTTTTTACTAATTATACATATAAGGAAAATCAATGACCCCCTGGGGTGGGGTCATTTTTAGCTCGACTATTCGAAGAATATGAGAGCTATAATAGTCGCCCCGGCGTCGGCATCGGCGTCCGCGTCGGCGTCTGCGTTGGTTAAAGTTTTTTGTACAGTCAAATATCTCAATTATTACTTGAGATATTCAATTGAAACTTACAATACTTATCTATAGTAACAAGGTACATCAAATTGACAAGTTGGATAACCCTGCCTACAATATTGACAGAATTATGCCCCTTTTTAACTTAGAAATTTTGGTTAAAGTTTTTTTGTAAAGTCAAATATCGCAATTATTGCTTGAGATAATCAATTGAAACTTACAATACTTATTTATAGTAACAAGGTTTATAAGATTGACAAGTTGGATAACACTGCCTACAATATTGACAGAATTATGCCCCTTTTTAACTTAGAAATTTTGGTTAAAGTTTTTTGTAAAATCAGATATCTTAATTACTGCTTGAGATATTCAATTGAAACTTACAATACTTATTTATAGTAACAAGGTTAATAAGATTGACAATTGGGTAACACTGCCTAAAATATTGACAGAATTATGCCCCTTTGGAACTTAGAAATTTTAGTAAAAGTTTTTTTGTAAAGTCAAATATCTCAATTATTGCTTGAGATATTCAATTGAAATTTAAAATACTTTTTTATAGTTACAATGTACATCAGTTTGCAAAATTGCATAACTCTGCCTGCCATGTTTGCAGAATTATTTGCACCTTTGTAACTTAGAAATTTTGGTTAAAAGTTAAAGATCTTCAAACATATTTACTTGAAACTTTACACATGCACTTAGGGTCATAATTGGAGGGTCATAATTGTATGTCACTGACCAAGTTCCATAACTCTATCTTGCATTAAGGCTGATTCATATCCCCTTTTCTACTTAGTCTCTTGGTTAATGTTTACATACAAGTTTTACATATCTCAATAACTATTAAAGATATTTATTTAAAACTTCATATATGCATTAAGGGTCATAATTCTATCTCGCATTTAGGCTGATTTTTCTCCCCTTTTTCAACTTAGAAATTCACTGTAAAGTTTTGCTTGTAAGCTGTTATGTCAATAACTACTGAAGGGTGTGTGCCTTTTTTGGGACAATTTTATGCATTCATAAAGCAGTGATTTACTTGATAAAACATCTTAATAACAAGTGTTTGTACCTTTTCTGTCAAATTTATGTATTCATAGGTAATTAGTATTATTATACTCAATAAAACACCATTGTGACATTACATTCGAAATAGTCAAGCCAATACTGTATAATTAGACTCTCTCTAAGGCCTTTAACATGAATTTATAAAAAAAATTAGCCCTTTGTGAACTTAAAAAATTTAACATTATCAAGGCTCTTTTACTATCAAGCACTTAGAATAGTCGAGCGTGCTGTCCTACCGACAGCTCTTGTTGACCCTAGGGGTTTTATTTGGACAAACTTGGTTTACATCTACTAGAACATGTTTCATGCCAAATATCTAAGCTCTACCTCTTTTGGATTTACACAAGAAGATTTTAAGCTTTTACTATAAACATATTGAGAAAATCAATGGCCCCTTGGGCGGGTCCAATTTTGACCCTAGTGCTTTTATTTGAATAAACTTGGTAGACATCTACTTGGACATGTTTCATGCCAAACATCCATGCTCTAGCTCTCAGTTTTTTACAAGAAGATTTTTTAAGATTTTTGTTAAAACAACCTTTTGGTGGCCATGGCAACCAGAGTTCTATATGGAATTTGATTCTTTGAAAAACTTTGGTAGAGCTTTATGGAAGGAACATCCCTGCAAAGTTTCAACAAATTTGGCCAAGATATTTAGAAGGAGTAGTTGTTTAAAGAAATTGTTGACGGAAGGACGATGGACAATGGGCCATCACAAAAGCTCACCTTGAGGACAAATTTAGTTCTGAGCATATTTCTTTATTATTCTTTGCATTTTATTTCTATTTTAAGTGCTTCAAATGATCTATGTAAACATTTCAAATTTTATGCTTTTAGGTTTTTGCACCTCAGTGGAGTTCCTTCAATACTTTGATGAATTTGTTCCCTTGTCTATTGTAATAATGAAAATTAATGTAATTGTGGGTGTATTCCCTTTTATTGCAATTTTTTTTAGGTGAAGCATGTATTACATTTAGTTTTAGCTAAAGGATGACTTTTTGATATACAAAGTAATAGTTTTTCTGTTATTCTATTGCAGGTGGTATAAGGAGGGGAGACCAGATTGTTGAAGTGAATGGTATAAGTTTTCAGGATATAAGTCTGACTGAGGCCAATGAGAAAATATGGCAGGTAGAACAAGAGTGTCTTCCTGGGGTACGTTGTTCAAATCTATAATATAAATGTAGAAATACTCATTCTTGCATGAAAATTGCACACAAAGGTGTAAGTTAAGAAGAAAAGATAAAATAATGTTTAAATTCTATCTTAGCACGGTCCTTTGTTGAAAGGTTTTTAACCTTTACCGCATGAGCATATTGTGAAAAATGGCTGTTTTCATTTAAAAGCCTCCTGTTACAAGTTCAAACTGCTTTAAAATTATGAAAAATGCTTCAATACTGATGAAACTTGGCACAAATGTTAACTGGGCCATAGTATTTGTAACAGCATGCTCAATGTTACCATGGCAACAGATGGACTTCTCAAAATTGCCAAAAATCACTATTTTTGATTTATTTATTTTTTTTGCATCAAAACTGATTTTTCAAAGTGCAGCAACTTCTCAAAGGATTGAGAGATAGAGTAAAAGGATTTTCAGCATTGGTTACATGTTGCCTTAAGATCGACTTGAGGCCAGTTTTAGCCTGTCACATGTCCCCTTTTTGATAGGGGGCTGCGCCGAAAAATTGATCATTTTTGTGTCGCCTTGAAAAGGAGATAATAATTTATATAGGGGTTACTTTTGTTGATGGCGTTGTTATCAGTGGCAGGGTCCCCTAAGGCTTGTCCGGAGCATAACTCAGTCACTATAAGTCTGATTGACTTCAAACTTGTATGCATGCTTCTTTTAATAAACAGAAGTGCAGTGCACAAGAATCATGAGTTATTACCCTTTGTTGATTTTCTTATTTTATTTTTGTCTGCGCCATTTCTCTTATAAAAGCTATGGACTTGACACTTCAAAGGTCTGGAAGCTTTTCTGTTTTCCCAAGAAAAGTGACCATTGATTTACTTTTCAAGTAATTTGTGGAAAACAGATTTAAATAAAACATTGATTTTTTTTATTCTTTCACAAAAGTAGAAGTTGAAGCTTTTGTTATATTCAAATAGTGAAGTACACAATTTTGTGATTTATTTCTTAATGGAAAGAAATAACTAATGTGTTATGGATAAAGACACTTTTTGTTGGGTCTTAGACTCTGAAGGAATGGTCTTTTTTATCTATTTCAGGACGGAATCAAGTTTGTAGTTATTGAGTCGGGTTTGAATGATGATGATGAAACGTAAGTATTTTGTAAAAAAATATTTCAGTTTCTATGGTAACATAGCATTGTCAAGGTCATTGCAAATTAACTGATGATTGATTTTAAAATCAAGTTAATGTAAATTCTAGTGTTACAATTAATTCTTTAATGACTCATGTACAAAGGCAAGAGGCAATTAAACTGGTCAGTCAGAAAATTAAACTCTAAAAAATTGACCCCCTCCCCTTAAGCTTAGCATGAATAATGATTAGTTTATACAAATTTATTTTAATTTGATTGTTTTGGAAGCTATATCTTATTGAAACAGTCTCGAATCTGTTTTGGAAGCTATATGCTTATTGAAACAGTCTCGAAACCGTTCCTGGAACCAACCAGTACTAAGCAATGAATGTAAAGTTTTGCTGAAGGAAACAACGGCTTGTCCCCGACAGGGTTTGAACCCACGTGGTCAGCAATCCTTAGACTACTGAATAATAATTGGTCGAAGAACATTGCATTCACTAACTCAATTTGTGTCATATGCGCTGAAACTGGATTTTGGCTAACCTCTGGTGTTACAAACTTAAAGCAACACCAAGGGACAAAACCACCTGAAGCTTTAAGCAGGTTAAAGGTTTAGTTATATGATGTATTATATGCATTATATCATTTTTGTACATACTGTCAGATGTTTTAATAGTACTGACATGTATGTAATATCTTTAACAGTCATTTCACAGGTAAAATCTTATTGTAGATTTATGTAGGAATGTGCATATTGTTCTCACATTGAAAACCTTTGTTATAAAAATGTTCAACAGGTTATATGGCCAAATGTAAACTGTTTAAAAATATATATATATAACTCAAGTCATTAGGCAATGGTTATATGACAAGCAATCATTTAAAAAAAATGGTCATATAACATGTTGACAGTGTTTATAGCAAAATTTTAAGTCTGCAGAACTGATTTCTTTGAGAAAAAAAGAAAAATACATTTGTAATTATTAAATTTGCAGCATTCATATATTTACAGTAAATTATAAAAATGTCCAGATTATCCAATGAAAATTACAACCAACAATGCAGTATTATAAATTTATATGAAATGTAAAGTAAGATACAGTTATTTTACTTGTCTCACTCTCATCAAGAGTCAACACTTAATATTTCACCAATTAATTCGCTAACATATTGAAATAAAAAGTCTTAGGCTATATATATTTGTATATGGTAATCCATATTGTAATCTACAATTACGGGGAAAAAATCTGTTATAAATGTTAATTTTTTTTTTTTTCTGAATTTTCCCCTTTTAAACCAGAATGTTTTTCCCAATACCCTTTATTGTGTTTGTGAAATATTAGGTCACTTGAAAAGTAATATAAAATTTTTAAAATTATGCCCAACTTTCACTGTAAAAACCATTTTTATTTAAAAAACCTTTTCAGTTTGGTTTAAATTATAAAATTTAAAATAATTTATTTTGCCTGAGAAAAGCCCTTTAAAATTTCCCCTTTAAACTAAAAAACAGTTTTAAAACACATTCCCTTTTATGTTTTGAATTATAAAAACTGTTTTTGGGCAATTAAAGTAAATTCTGCAAAACCCAAAAAGTACTTTTTTGGCAAAAAATACGGGGAAAATTTTGTCTTGAACCAGAATTGGGTTTAGAATCGAAGACCCCTGGGTTTTTTGGGATGCAAAAAATGTTAAAAAACGGGCATGCCCACTAAGATTACATTTGACAACTCTTTTTAAAAAGCTTTAGAAAAAACCCATAAAAGCAAAAATAAATATTTAAAAAATTTTTTTTTCTTTTATTTTTTCAGAAACCTTTTTTTCTAATTTGGGGTCTTTTTAGCCCTGGATAAAGTCAGTATTTACTCGGAACAGTACAGCATCTATTCAAACACCAGTGTGCCTATAACTTATATACACTAACTTCTGTACTTGTGTTTTTGTGATTTCCAATTAATCAATCAATCAAACAATCAGAAGTGACAGTATTCAGTGTAAAGAAATTTCGTAATGTAATCAAGTGATCTTTAGTTTGCTTTTGCAACAATTTATGTTCATATTAAACATTTTAATGAAGTTTGTAGTCATTTAAAAGCTTACTTTCAGTATTGATAAAGAGTTATGTTAAAATATACTAATAAAGTTACACATTGTTATGTGTCAGTCAATCAAGTGAACATAAACATGTATTCTATTTTACATGTTTACAGAGAATAACTGAGATTTGCAGAAAATATATGAATATCTAAGGCAAGTAAGACATGCATCTTTGATATACAAGTGTTACAATTCTAATTTGTTCTTTGTAATTTAAATATGCAATCAAGTTACAAATTAGCTACTAATTTAATGCACTGCAAATGACAGTCAGTAAGGTTGATTGAAATTCCACAGACATTCAAAGTTATAACAGAATAATGTTTAAAAGTTTATATACATTTTACAAATTTTCAGCAATATTTTTATAGTAGCAATAATAAGGGTTTTTCTATTGTTAAATAAAACTTATACATATAGTTTGAGAGTTTGTTTTCTTTGATATTAATATCCCACATTATTTGATACAACAACTGAGCTCGGTGAGCCTGAAGTATGTGTGTGCAAGATGTACGACAATAAAATGTTATTGGACTAGAAAGAAAAACTAGATTCACAAGGGCAACATGTCGAGCCCGTTGTCACATCTGACCTTGAGCTTTTACCCTAGTCAAAACAGTTCATGCGCGCCACATGTCATATCATGATGTGAACATTTGTGCCAGGTTATTTAAAACTACACCAGCTAGTGAGAGTTATGGTGCGGACAAGCTGTTTGAGACCATTTTTTTGCATTTGACTGTAAAATGACTTTTGACCTTGCCACGTCTTGCGCACAACATACCGTCTGATGATGTTGAACATTTGTGCAGGATTTTTTGCAACTCCACTAGCTAGTGATGGTTATGGTGCAGATAAGCTGTTTGGGACAATTTCTTTACAATTTACCTTAAAGTATGACCTAGCCACATGGTTTTTGCGAATAACCAACTGTCTCATTACTGTGAGCATTTGTTGTAAGTTATTTGAAATACTGCCTACTAATGACAGAGTAACAACCCGGACAAGCAAATCTAAAATGGTTGGACGCACTTGCATACACAGAACTGCCACTGTGACAACTTTGTCGAGCTCTCTGAAAGCGTGCTCGACAATAATAGACAACAATCAGAAGTTATTAATTATCCCATGGTTACTTTAACAGGTCATCTAATGGCCATGGACAAAGTCCCTACCAAGTTTCACATTCCTGAAGACATTTTAGGATTTAATTTGTCACTGTGACCTTAATCTTCTGACTAGAGGTTATCTACTGGCCATTGGCAACATGCCAACTAAATTTAGCTGTTAAAATATGTGAGAAAAAGACATAACACTGTTATATTGACCTAAATGGGAAAATTAAATGGGTCATTTACTGGCCGTGCTTCTCTTCCCTTTTAAGTATGAAGATAGCACACCCAATATATTTGTAGTTCTCAAGCAGACATAAATTGCTGATGAAATGAGGTGGGCAGTGTGGAGTGGAGCTTTCCCGTAAGCCACATTGAATTTACCGAAGCAGAGTTCAGCCACCTGGGCAGACTGTAAAGCTGTTTTACCGTACTAGTTGTCTCCACAAAGGAAATGATAACTTCTGTAACAAGGCACAGCAGAAAGCGCTCGGCAGCTTGTCCAGACTACTCGTCAGAAACTACCTGTGCAAATTGCATCCTAATTTTTACTGGAATGATCAGTACCAAGTGTAGGTTAAACATAATACTGGCAATTTTTGGTTCAATGATTTTACTTTTGTCCTTGTAAAGTTTAAATGAATTTTACACCCAGTAGTTTCCGAGAAGAAGCCTAGACAAG